CCACCCAGAAAGGGGGTCTGTCTGTAAATTGTCAGCCTTGAGGGGGCACCTTTTGTCAATTTGCATAAAGGTACCTTTCATGCTAGTCCCATTTAGGACTCAGTTTCCCTATTTAAAAATTAAGGGTATTGCAGCTACCCCTCACCTCATATGAGTCCCTCTGTCAGGCACTGACTTGATTCCCAGAACTGCTAAGACGTAATAGACTGATGGCTAAGAACACAGGCTTTAGAGCTGGCACATGGGTTCAAGTCCTGCCTCTGTCCCTTGTCCATGCCAGGCTACAGGCAAATTACTTAGCCTTTCAGAGCCTCTGTTTATACAGTTTAACTGAGAGTTGGCTGTATATCTGACACTGTGCTAGCACTGAAGACTCAATGGCAAATAAGATAGATTCAGCCTCTGCCCTCCCAGTGCTTTCAGGTCTTTGAGCAAAGCAGATGAATTTGTCCAAGGTCACAGAACTCCTCAGAGGTAGATCTTGAACTCAGGCCAAGTCCTTGTGACTTGGAACTTATGTTCTTATCTATCCTCCTCTCTACCTCCACAGACCAGGTCATTCACTTCTTTTTTTGTGATAATCTAAGAAGAATGTGAGAGAAACACTTTAAATATCTTCATGGTGGTGATGGGGTGTGGATGTGTTGTACTTATCTCCTTGTTTGAGACAAAGGACAATGCCTGCTATCCTCCATCTCCACCACAGCAGAGCCCACCCCACCTGCTAAACATTTTGTGGGGGCTATTGATGACAGATTGTCTGGCATTCTGACACTAGCCAATCAATAGAGCTGGAAGGTGCCTCAGGCCAAGGGCAATTGAATCCCAACCTTTTAGTGGCATTAAATAAAGCAATATTTATTTTGCCTTTGGTGCAAATATCCTTAATCCAATCTAGCTCATTGGTAATGCTGAAAAACTGCTGCGTTTGAGGGACAATTTCATGCATGCCCCATATGTCTTTGCTTGTCAGTGCTACTCTTCCAGCAGCATACAGCCCCTCGGTGCTCAGGATGAGATTGATCTGGAGCCACCAAGCTGCCTTTTTCTTTTTCCTTTAGAGGAGATGAAAAGGAAATCATAAGAAGGGGAATTAAAATCGTTGCTCTCATCCTAGCTGCCATTATTGCAACAGGAATGAGATACAATGCCCTTCAGGAGGTAGAGCTATTTATTTGACATTTGAATGATGTACTCTGAAACTGTTGTGTCTCTGCCATTGGGCACAGGAGGAAGATACCAGTACAGGAAGAGCAAAGGAATAGCTTCATGTCTGTTTTATAGATCACACAGCCTCTTTGATGGCTGGAGAGACTTTTAAGTGTCACCGTAGACCATCCTGACATAAGACCTGGGTTTGAATCCCAGCCTATATCTTAGCAGCTATCAAGTGACCTTCTCAAGGTCAAATTTCTGTTGTGTTTGATTTTCTCATTTATGAGATGGGGATAAATAATACCTACCTCATTTAGCTATTATGAAAGTGTCTAGCATGTAACAGGTCCACAAATACTTTTTGAAATGTCTTTCAAAACCTTGTTTTGCAAAATTCCTAAACCTTGTTTGCAAAATTCCAGGGTGTTTGTTCATGGATATGTGCATCTACTCATTCATTCATTCAATAGATATGTTGAGCCTTCTTAGCATCTGGGTCTATAGTAGGTAAGTTGGAGTGGAGGGGGACAAGATGGCACAGACATAGTCCTTGCCTTTATTGGTCTCACAGTTTGTAAGAAGAAAGAAAAGATACTCAGGGTATCTCCAACTCAAGAGAAATAAATTATACATTACACAGTTATATATAAATTTGACTTCCACAAATTTGGATTTTCTAGTGATCCTAATGCCAAATATTCTGTCTCATTCTGCCATAAATTCTCTCATTCATATCAGAACATAGGTTCCTATTTTGAGCTCATGCAAGAATTTCATCTTAAAAATAAATAACAGAATAGAAGAGCACCAAGGAGACAGAGACCCAGAAGAGAGACCCTGGGATTTCATATTCAGTGACTCTAAATTGGCAATCTTAGGAGTGAGAGCCTGGCTTTGGAGGTCATCTTGTCCTTGCCCCTGTCTTAGTCAGCTGATTTGCATCCTGAAACCACTGAAGAGAAAGTCTGTGCCAGCCCTGCCTTGCTGCTACTTATAGCCTAGTTAGGGACATAAGCATCACACACTAGTAACCTGTTAGAAATATGTATAATTACCAACCATTCTTACTTCCCTGATTTGTACGTGCCATGCCCTCTGCCTGGAATGCTCTCTCATGACCTGACTTGGCAGATTCCCATCCCCCCTTGGATCACCTAGTTCAAGGTTAGGTCCTGGGCAGAAGTGGCTGTTAGCCGAGTCTGGGTGCCCTCCTGCTGCCCTGACTGCCAGGTCACAAAGAGGGGGCAGCTGGTGGATGGGGTAGAAAAGGCACTGCTACGGTCTCATCATCTTGTGCTGATAGGAGAGCAAAACTCCCCCTGCTGCCCCATTGAGCCATGGAGCTGGATTCTGAGCATTCTGCAAAGAAAACAGACAAATGCCTGCTATGTTAGGAGCATGCATACTAGATAGAGCATAAAACAATCATAAAGTATAGTAAAACAACAACCTAAAATTTTTGAGCTGCTATTATGTGCCAAAACATGTTCTTTTTACATGCTATCTCATTTAATCCACATGACATTGGCCTGAACTGTAAAAGGATGTAAGCTGTGAGCATGTCTTCTTCCTCCTGTTAGACTGTTTCTTGAGGGCAAGGGATGTCAGACTGCCCATGCACCAACCTTGACATCAACTCTTTTCTCAAGCAAGTTGTTTATAGTCTCTTTGTGCTTCTGTTTTCCCATCTGCCAAATGGGGAAAATAATAGCACTTTCATCATCAAGTTAGCTTAGATAAAATACTTTGTACTTAATAAAGTACTTCATTCTTGAGACAAAGTAATGTCAGTAAATGTTCTGTGGATTGTGTTCCCTTGATTGTGATGGTAATATTGTTAGAACTATGTGTAGGGCTGGCTCTGGTTTCACTCTGCAATTAGTGAGAAGCCAGCATCAGCATTTAGTTGATCTAAATGCAGCAATGCAAAGACAGAATAACAAAACTCCTTCCCAGACATTCAAGGCCCTCCACATTTCACCTTTCTGAACCTTTACAGCTTCACCATTACCACCTCCTCACTTCATACTCTATGATTCAGTCAAATCAAATTGTCCACCATTCCCCCGACATCCTAGGTAGTTTCACAGTTCTCTTCTTTGCTTACAATTTTCCTTCTGCCCACACCTCCTGGAAAAATTATCTTCATTCAACAAAGCCCAACTCAAATGGCTGCTTCTCAGTGAAGCCTTTGCCCGTGTGTCCTCATGAAACATTAGTTACGCTCCCACATGGTTCCCATAAGCTTATTTTAAGCAATAGAAGGAAATTACTATTATTTATCGCATCATCCCTATCCCAAACATCTTGAAGGAGAGGTGGGTCCCCAGTGGAGTCCTTTTCATTTTTCTGAGTAGGGTGATAGGTGGGGATACAAAATTTAATAAGCTAAGAGGGGGTTAAATTGCATTGCTTAGGAAAATAGAGAGGCTTGGAAAATTAAGATGTGGTAAAATGGGACAGAGGGAGAGAGAAGGAAAAGGGGATAATTTGGGCAGAGGAAGAGGAGAGGGATATGGCCACCATCAGTTTTGAGTCTGGTTAAAAATATGCAAAGAGCAGAGTTATCTTATAGGTGGTGAAGAGCCATAGATGAACTTTAATCAAGAAAGCAAGATAGATCTGTGTGGGAGACATTCTGGGAACAGGAAGAGGATGGATTGGAGAGAAGGGAAGAGGTGATTTGACTTGTAAGCAAGCACAGGGTTTCTGGAAGTTGTACCTCAGCCTAGGCTGGCCTGGAGAGCTCCTAGAGTACATGAAGGCCCAGCAGATGGAGGCATAGGAACAGAGACCTGGGGGACTTATCTTTTTCCTAAGTACAAGCAGGACTTTGGGCAGACATGAACTAAGAAAAGGAGAAAGAGGGAGAGGAGGAGAACCAGAGGTCACAACTGCACTTGTCCTAGAGAAGTCCTTTAGCGTGCTCAAGGGAGAGTATAGAAACTGTGGTCAGAGCAGCCTTCACCGAGTAGGTGACATTCAAGCAAAGATTTGAAGTAAGTGAGAATGAGTCACTCAGACAGCTGGAGGAAGAGCATTCCAGGCACAGGGACAGAAGCCCTGAGGCAGGATGTACCTGATTGTTGGAGGAACAGTGAAAAGGCCAGTGTCTGGTACAGTGGAAGCAAGAGGGATGGTGGTAGGATCTGAGGTCAGAGAAGTTAGCAAGGATGGAGCAGATAAGAGTTGCAGCTTAAGGACTTCAGCTTTTACTCTGCATCTAATAGGGAACCATCTGAGCAGAGAAGGGACACAATCTGACTTACATCTGAAGAGGATCACCCTGGCTGTTGTGTGGAAATTGGTGGGGAAGATGGGTGGGAGGATACAAGTGTGCAAATGAGAAGACCAGGTAAGAGATTATTGCAATGCTTTGGACCTTGGTCCAAGTTCAAGGTATTATCAGTGCAGGAGATACAAAGATGTTGGGTTCTGAATACATTTTGAAGGTAAAGACAACAGGTTCTGTGGGTGTGAGACAGAAATAGCAGGGCCACCAGCAGTTCTACCCTGGGCCCTGCTTTCCACTGCCCTATAGAGATGCACACGTGCCTGTGGTCTCAAAGTTTGGGCAGTGAAGAAAGCCTGCTCCACAGAAATGTTTTGGAACCTCCCTGTGACTCATTTTCTTATGCAAAGTGGGAATTGTAATAGTAGTGATACAACAGGGTTATTGAAAGCATTGGATGAAGTAACACATGTAATATGTTTAGAATTGTTTCTAGCAAGAAATAATTCTAGGTAAGTGACATAATGACGGCTCCTACTTCTAAATGTATTTTGACAAGTGAGTAGCTTGGCTTGTCCTGTTTATACTGACTTTGACTTTGGATGCCATCTAGGTGCTCTCTCATGGGGTTTGATCTGAACCGTCACTGGCTGGATCCCTCTCCATGGGCCCACCCTACCCTGCATGGGGTGAAACAGCTCATCGTCCAGATGTACAACGACCCAGTGAGTAACTGACCCCCTTCCTCAGGCTTGATGTGAGAAAGCATTGTGTTGCACTGGGTCAGCCCACTGGGAGCTACAGATGAGATGTCCAGAGTTGAAACCAGGGAGGGACTAGTCCTGCTGATCTCATGTCTGCACTGGACAGACCCAGGCGCTTTCCCCAACCCCTCACGAAGATTTGGGTTCAGCTGTGGGTATCTTGTGAGATGAAGGAAATACGCTGAACAGATCCGGGTTCATCAGGGGTCTTTGGTTACAAGCAAAACAGAAATTACTAGAAGAGAAATCAGAGTACCTCATATAACTGAAGACTATAGACTGGCCTCTTCCACCTGCAGAGAATATGTGATAAGTGTCAAGTTCCATGGCTTCTATCACTAGCAAGTGACTTTCATTTTCTATTTCCAATTCCAAAAGTGATTGGCCTGGCTTGGAGGACATGTCCACCTCTGGGCAAGTCATGCCTGGCCCAAGAGGCAAGGATATGGGAGGGGAGGGTAGGACAGCCTCACTAGAATTTCATGGTCGGACTTGGGAGGTGTGGTGGTAGTGGGGAGCCTGTTCCCAGAGAAGAGGGCCTGCTATTCCAGAAAGGGAAACAGTGTGCATCCACATTGAGTTCATTCATAGGGCAAAACTTTGTAAGAAACAGAAGAAGACATTGTGGTTTCATAGCTAGGAGAAGGAGGAAGACCATGATCATTCTATCTCTAAGGGCTATCAGTAGGGACAGAGCAGACATCCTGCAGGGAAAGACTGCAGGAGGAGGCAAGGCCTACAGAGAATTTCTTAACAGTTAGAGCTGCCTGAGGATGGAGTGGGTATATGAGCTGTGAACTTGGCCTTACGAAAAGTGTTCAACTTGAAGACAAATGACACTGTCAAAAATGGTGCATAGAGGGGACTCAATTATTTGGAAGACATTCTAGTGAGATTACATCTGGGTTTTTTCCCACTTTGAAGACTGTGACTGTATGTCCCTTTGCTGCCATCAGTTACAGATAGTGATTGCTAAGACAGCAAAGGTCTAGGACTCAGGGTATTTGGGAGAGGCACCAGTGGAACTCATTCTACTTACTCTCTTTGACAATGCCCATAAGAAATTCCTAAATTAAAGAGCAAGATAATATACTGACCAGATAGAAATGTGTATTAAAAAATAAATGCATTTATTAGAGTATGGATTCATGAGAAAGTAAATCATTAGGTACAATATGGTAATCAACTGTTATCTTGATCCTCCTATGTGGACTTTGCTTTCCTAGGCCTGTTCATCGCCCAAGTGCTATGTCAATGCTTATGTAGCCAGAGCTTTAATATATTTACTTCCTTCTTCCTTGTCTACAGAAGAAGGTGTTAACTGTGCTCACCAAACCCCTTTATTACACTGAATCTTGATGCCATTCTGATCACTTTTCCTGGCAGGGAGAAGCTGCTTCTGAACTTCTCAGTTAGTGTCTGTTGTCTGATAGATTCTGTGTCCCTTGCCCCAGACCTTTACAGTTTCCCTAATAAAATCATGTCTTATTCTCCTACCATGTACTTCTTAATTAAAATAGCCCCTATGTTTTTTCTTCTCTGGTTGATAGTAGATATTCAATAACTATGTGTTGAATTGTATTGGATTGAACATGGCAAATTCTGTTATGCCAAATACAGTGTGGTCTATAGATACAAAACAGTCATTCACAGAGAGGACAATGAGGCCTTATGATAAAAGAAAAGACGTGGGACAAGTGGGAGCCTTGGAGCAAAGTGGTGTTCTAGACGAGTCCCTGAGGAGAGAACTGACGGCAGAGAACAGGAGAGGAATTGAAGGAAAGGGGTTAGATTTGTTGAAGAGAAGAGACCTCGGCCTGCCATTGCCATCATTAATCAGAAGCCATTGATTCACTCACAAATAGCTAGGTACTCATCCATTCTTCAGAACATAGATCAGGCAAGACTGAGTAACCAAAATAATAGGACACACTGCCACGAACAGGTTGATCATCAGCTGGTTGTGTCTTAATAAACACACTTGGAGGCTGAGCTGGCTGTGTAAGCTACTCTTCTTGCAAGTCCGCTCCTTTATGCCCCAAGCAAGGACATGGAATGCTAATCCACTCATGCTAACCTGGAACAGGATCTCAGCTCCTCAGTCTTTTCCCCACTCCCTCTCCTTCCTGTCTTTCCTCCATTCTTTCCTTTCCCTTTTCCACAAATATTTAACAAGTAGTTCTATATACCAGGCATTGCTTTTCCAATATTGAACAAAACCTTAACCCTTTCAATCTCATTGGGAAATAGACATTAAACAAGTAAATACTGATAAATATAGATTTGCAAACTGTGTCTGGGGCTACCAAAAAAAGCATACATGGTTTGTCATATATGTAGAATGGTTATACATTTCAGCTTGTATGGGGCAGTTCTGGTTTATACCTGTTGTCTGAAATATTTATTAATAGTGTCTTTTTCACTTTTAAAAGGGCTCTGCCAGTTTGGATGATAAATTATATGTTCTCTCTACTTAAAAGCTGTGTAAAGCACTTAGCACCATACCTGGTGTGTAGCAGACCCTCAACAAATAGAATGGGGATCCAACTCAAATTCGCCTTTGATTTCCAGAGTTGCTGGCCCCAGTTGCAAACGCTGCAGTGCCCCAAGGCATTGCCTTGATAGCTGGAACTGAGTTTCTACTCCTGACCTTCATTGACACATACAGCATCATAATCACTCAACCCTGAGCCATCTGAACTGCTAGGATGGCTTCTGGCCTTGTTCCTAAATGCTCAAAGCCCTACTCCCTCCATCCCAGTGGCCTTCTCACCAAATCAACAAGCAGAGAATCAGCAAGACCCTCGTTGGGCAGGGACTGTGTGCTCACGGTCATTTCTCACAGACTTTCTTCAGCCCCTGTGCTGGGTGCTGGGAATACTCAGAGCCAATCTCCACCTCTTAGATGTTCACAGCCCAGTGGAAACAGACATTTATACAGTTATTCTAGGTGCATTGGTAGAGGGAGGCACAGGGTTTGTGGGAACCCATAGAAAGAGCCCATCCCAAGAGGCCAGACCTGAGCTGATGCTTGAGGAATGCCCAGGGCAGAGAGGGCTTTCCAAGTGAGGAGGTACATGTGCATCTGTCCCAGAAGGAGGCACACTCAGGAGAAGGCAAGCCATCCGGTGCGGCTGGTATCGAGGCCAGACAGAAGGGTGGGGGGGTTATGATAAAAGGGTGCAATTTATGCTTTATTCTCATGGGAATGGGGAGCCACTGAAGGATTTGAAGGAGGGAGATGACAGAATCAGCTTTATTTTTCAGAAAGATTCCTCTGGTGCCTGTGATGCCAGGGTTCTTGTTTGCAAAGTCGAATAATGCATTTTGCAAACACCCAAGGTAGGAGAGCCAAGGAGAGGCTTTTATTGAGAGAGACAGTGCAAGGACAGAGCTCTTGGCTCACCCCAGGAGGGGACAAGAGAACCTATAGAGGTGTGTTGCCTAGGGGTTTTATAGGCAGTTGAGGATTTGGGGGAACATGAAAACAGGCTTAGGGGTGTGGACTTGTTAAGTGTTCCCTGAATATTTAGAATTAACTCAACGTAAGGAATTTCCTTCTTTGATTTCTCCCTGGGATACCGTCCTCTTGGTCAGGGAGCATATCAAACATGGCTGCCTGCCCAGCCTTCAAGATGGGCTGAATTATTGTCTGTTTGCTAAAGAGTAAATTAAGAATCTTACTTCTTAAACATCCTGGGTGATAAAATGCAATCTTATCTTTAAGGTGGAATCCTTCCTGCCTTTTACTATGTTGTTTATGGCTGGGCCTGCATGCTAAATGAGTTGCCCAGTTTGCAAAATCACCTCATCAGGTCTGAAGGAGGAAAGACAGCACATAAGCTGGGCCTTTTAGCATAATAAAGTGAATCTTACACATGAGCACAAATGATTAGCATAACAAAACATGTGCTACTCTTCTTTAGCTGGGGAATATTAACTGATCTCACTGAAGAATGACTCTAGAGCTTAATACTTAACGCAGAGTTTTGGTAGGGGGTTTCTTTGCATGTAGTTACATTGCTCTGACTGTAAATATCTTGCCTTGCTTTTTCCAGAGGCCCTCACCCTACTCAGTCTAAGCCCATGGTCCCCGTCTCACCTGAAAAGAGATGGATTTGGAGGATGCCAGGCTCACCAGTTATAGCCTGCTGCTGTTGGGCTGGAAAGGAGGAGGGGTTTGGAGACAATAAATGGGGAGACAAAAATGACTCAGTGACTGTGGCTGGTGGGAAAGGAGGCAGTCTTGCAAGATGCCCACAGCTGGGCTCTGACACTGGGGTGGGCGTGTTTCCCTGCCTGAGAAGGGGCCCGGGAGGACCAGTAAGCATGGGGACAAGCCTTAGACATGCTGACTTTGACGCTGAGCAGTTGAGTGAAATGTCCGACCTGCCTGTGAGTCTCTTGGTCTTCCTGTCAACTGTGCTGTGTTCTCACCTGGCAACAAGAGCCTGCCATCCTGTGTTAATGAAGATATTTACTTCAGAGGCTGCTTTCCTAGTCCTGTGCTCCCTAAACCAGTCACCCATCTCAGGGCCTTGGATATCAAATGATGATCTTGACAAAGGAGTGTTTAAGCCAGAGGACAGCCCTGGATCTCAAATACGAAGTAGGTCCCACTCCCCGGACAGCTCCCTGAGGACAGCGTGGCCCTTGTTTACCAATTGCGATTGATTGTCCCCCAGGGGTAGAGTCTAGCTGATTCATCTCCATGTCCCCAGTGACGAGCAGGGACCAGACTCTGAGCAGTGTAAATGCCGAGCAAATGACCAAGTGAACCCTGAGCCTCTGTGACAGTTTTTCTAAGATCCTCTTGATGAAAAGGAGCAAATGAACCACAGACGCCTCCTCAGTCTCCCCTACACTCTCAGCATCCCAGATCCTGCTGCCACTATCATTGTGCCCTCCTTCCCTGAAGGCTTTGGTCATGGACATGAACCCCCTCCTGGGTTCAGGTGGAC